TCCTTTTCCACTCTCAGGAGCACAGCAGAATGTCTTCTTTTAGTGGAAAGGATAGCTCATAGACATTTTTTATGATTGTCTAAATTTTTAAAATAAATAACAACTTGACATCCCTAAAGGTTGCAGCAAAGTGTGGGATAATTGATGAAGATACAGGTGTCCTGTATCTTTCTGTTACCCCTGCCCCATATCCACACAGGGGAAATACACTTTTGCTTTTGGCCTCCAGCTTAAGCTTAACTGATGCATTGAAGGTTGGAGGATCATTGTTCCTCTTTGGAGGAGACTCATTACAGGCTAACATATTTCTTCTAAGAGAAACCAAAGTGAAGAAGTACTAGATGACAATTCTTAATAACAATTGCCCTGCCCCTTGAATGATAAGATATGAAGCTAAAGGGCCAGCAGCCACACAGGGAGAGTCTGAGGTCCTCAAATTCTCTGCTGCTCTTTCTGTCCCAGTTAGAATCATAGGCTGTCCTTTAGAAAGTTTTGTGTCTGTATTCCATGGACAGGGAAGCCAATTACTACCCAAAGGGAACTAAACATAACCATCTAGAGGGAAAGCTGGTCGAGATCCAACCACCATTCTATATTTGAATTATTCCTCTGACTTCCTCAGTAGTCAGCTTGGGACAGGTGGAGTGAAAGGAATCCCCAGCAAAAGGACTATGTTTTCAAAGACTTCACAGTGTGAAAGCAGGTTCTGCTAGAATCTACAAGATGGTCTTCATTAATGGGACACTGAACATGAGCCAGGGAGTGTGGGAAAAAGTTGAAGTATGTAGGGCCACATCATCTCAGAATTTAAACTTATCCTGTAGGTAAAGGAATTGAGGATCCTTCCAATGTAGGAAAATGATGTGTGCTCTTTATATTTAAAATAGTTTATTTTGATATAATATCAGACTTACAGAAAGTTTCAAGAAAAGTACAGAGATATACTAGTTGACTTTTAAACAGATTTCTAAATATTGCACCCCGATTCCTAAATGTTGATCCTCTTCTCCCTCTCTCTCTCTCTCTGTGTATGTGTGTATGTGTGTGTGTGTCTCATTTCCTTCTTCCTAGCCCTCTCTCTCAGATCTATCTCAATTTACAGCCATTTTACATGTGATAAGCCCATCATAAGTTCAAAGTATTGTAAGTCAGAAATGCCTGTAATACATTTAACCTACTAAATATAATATCTTCTCTAGTCTACCTTTAAACTATTGCTCAGAATGCATGGGCAATTTTTCCAACACAAAACTTTTAATAATGTATTGAAAAAAATGCCAGGTGAGACCTCTGTACTGTTCAGAGCCAGGGCCCAAACTCCTACACTGTAATTTCAGCTTTCTCCACTTGTTCTCCTGTAGTTCAAGGCTGTCTGGGGAGATTTGATCCCAAACTTTATTGTTACTGCCAGTAATCACCCACTACTTTTAAATTGGTCTCTTTTTCTCCCCAGACACACAAAATTCCTTCCAATGTTTTCTCAGTCTATATCCTCTTTCCTGGAATGCCCTTATCCCTTTTTAATAGAAATTAATTTACCTCTCTTTCTGAGCCAGAGCATTTCCTAGGTACTAGGTACAAAAATAAAATCAGTGTTTCTATCCACAAGGAACCCACACTATAGGAGATTTTCCTGTCTCCTCTGACGCTTTGCTGTTGACTTGGGTCCCAACCCATAGGGGCAGTCTCTTCTCTGAGCTGTGTAATATCCTTTTTCTACATCATCCCTCAGGTCTGGTCTGAGTTCTGGATTCTATGTCACATAGGGCTGGACTGAACTCCCTAAGAAGATCAAAAACTCCTTGAGAACTGGGCAATGTGTCCTACAGGTCTCCAGCCCCACAGTACTTCATATGGGATCTGCTTCCTCTACCTTTGATAACTGACTGGACCCCTGCTAAGCCCAGCTCCTTGCCACACTACCAAGTTATGTCCATGTCCATCTCAGGGTGAGGATGCTGCAGGTTTCTAGACCTAGAACGAAGCACACAGGTGTCTATTTGCAAGTCATCAGCACATAATGAGGGAAGGTCCTCCACTCACCTGCTTCCCCCAGTAGTCACTACTTATTTCCATTTCCTCACATAATTCTGTTCATATTCATGTAAGCGAGAAAAGGGTAAGATAAATTCCAAGGAAAACCTGAAGGGGAGAAAATATTGTCAAGTGACATGCAGTCTTAGCCATACTGGAGGGATGCAGAACAAGGGAGTCATTACCTGGTTGACAGAAAGTGAGGCCACTGGAGAACAATTTTCCCAAGCTTAGGAGAAGCCTTTGGCTTCATTGGTGGCTTCCAGATTACCCATTCTTCTTCTCTTTGGTGGTAGAAGCCAAATTACAGCATGCATTCCTAAGGTAGTTGACTCTACCACAAGCCATCTGTCCTGAGTACCTGACAGACACACAAGAAAAGACTTACAGGATTTAACACACCAAACCACAAAGTAATGGGAGTTCACACTTTCTTCACCACACAGACATCATTCCAGTGACATCTGAGATTGATTTACTTGTATAATTCAGCTAAACAATTCAAAATATCTTTAAGGACTGAAAGTAGAAGCCAAATTGAACAAGAAGCAGTTTTTACCCTTTCCGCTATACAGGGCCCATTCACCAAGCCAGGCAGGGATCCTCTAGCAAGGCTCCCTTGGAAATAGCAAGGGTCCAACCATCCTTGCCCACCATTGTTGCTGGCATGGGCACAGCATGTGGCACATGGTACAAATGCAGCACATCTTGATGAATGGATGACTCCCAGCGTGACTACCCACATAGTCTTCCTCTCTGTTATCAAGGACCTGAGCTGACATCTCTTCCTAATACTCTCTAGGATTCCTCTGTCTGAGTGGCACCAGGTTGAAAGAGTCTCCTTTTGAAACAGCCCCAATTACTACAAGTCTGTTTTAGTTCCTAGACTATGCACAGTCTGTGATCCCAGGCAGTCAAGACCCAGGTTTAATGGAGGGACATTGGTGACCAAGCCAGAGTCTCCTAGTGTGGTACTGTCAGTTTCCAGTGTCTTTGATAATTCTAAAACTTTCAGCAGAGTTACAGCTAAATTCCATGTCTGAGGTGCAAAAACATGTTTTATCCTCAAAACTGGCTTCCATCTCTCTCTCTCTCTCAATGTCTTTTTTTCTTAATATATTTTTAATTGGCAAAACAATAACTATATTTTGAAGTACAATGTGATGTTTTAATATATATAAGCACATGTCATCACATGCATGGGGAGTTAGTTAAACTATTTAACATGCATTACATCACATATATTAAATAAAATTTATAGGAGGTCTTTGGTTTAGACTGAGCTCGTGCACTAGGTCTAACACACTGTACCAAAATTGAGTCACTTACGGTAATGTTCACTGTCACCAATGAAATCAAATGTTTTATCTAGTCTAGACATCAGAAGAATCCCAAAAGAAGCTAAGAAAGGCCAGCATGAGAAGGTAATCCCCTTTGTTTTAACCTTTAAAAGAAGAGTAATTTTTAAAAACCAGTCCATTTGTTTGGTTTTTTGTTTCTTCTTTCCTTTTTTTTCTTTTCTAAAGCCAAGAGCCTCTGCTAATCTCATTGGTCTTACAGAATGAGGTATTTCCTAATTCTAGAATCACAAATAAAAGATAGTTAAGAGCTTTAAATTAAATTTGTTGTAATTTTGTCCTCTGATACGTGACATTTATTTTTGGGTGATGAGAATGTTATAAATCTATGTTTCTGGCAATGATCAGTACACTGGAAATAACTACAGTCACCATGATTTACAACAGCTCTCTTGAATTGTACTTCTAACTCTCTCAGCCAGGATCATATGCCATTGAGTAGAAGGTGCCACCACTTGCCTTGAGCTTAATGCCTAATCTACACTTCTAAGAGTATGTCTTGCCCTAGTATTCAGAGCCTGACTTCAAAATTTTGAGTTTTTATTGTGTCATGTGTATGTGTATATTTTATGTAACTTGTCTATTTCAATCTTTACTACTGTCATGCAGAATGGTTTTATTGCCCTCATTAATAAGTGATGAAGCAGAAGCTCAAAAACATTAAGTACTCAAAGTCACCCAACTGGTAAAGGGCAGAACCCTCAACTGACATCACTCATTTTTTTGTCAGAGAAGGGCGCATGTAAGTCTGTGCCCTGTGGCATCCGTCCTTGTTCTGAGATCTACAAAAGGAGTGAGGAGGAAGCACCACGCCTAGGGCGTTTGCAGCTCAGAATCCAGGTCCCAGCCAACCTGAGACCTACATGAGCTCACTTTCCTGCTTCCTAGGTCCCCCACCCGCTCCACCTTATGATAATCATTTTCCTGAGAACTCTGAAGTCTGAGTGGTATGCATATGGAGATAGAGAGACAGAGAGAAATAGAGGGACAAAGAAAGACAGAATCAGAGACAGAGACAGACAGAGACTGGCTATTGCTGCTATGCCGTTTCTCTTAATGGGGCCTAATGGTTTTCCCCATAGCAGCCAGGACAGCACTCATTCATTGCTCAAACAACAACAAAAAACAACACAAAACTTTATCTTTGCCTTATCTTCCCACCAATGTAGGACAAGTGTGGCTGTAAGCCCAAGGTTAAGTCCAAGTCATGACTTGGCTGAGTTTAATGGGATTCCAAAAGACCCATTCACCTCCTCATCTGTTTCTCTTAAACGACATTAATTGCACAGCCCGCCAGGCCACCCGCTCCCCTCTGCCAACCTGCACTTTCTGGAACTCTGCTCTTATAACCCACACCCCCACCGTCCTGGATGCTTGATGGGACCATCCCAGATGCCAAGGTCCTAAGTCAAAAGTGATGAATGGGTTTGGAAATCCGAGGAGGCCAGGTCTCGTAAAGTGATGGGGAAGTGGGGCAAGGGCTAGGTGAAGGCGTTCTCATCGCCAGCCGGGCTGTGCCAACAGGGAGGTGGCCACGGGGGAGGGGGTTGGTGAGTAAAACCTGAAATTTGAGGAAGGACAGGTACATCCTATTGTGACTAGGGACTCATTAGGATGCCCCAATCCCTGGCCACCTCATGGCCTTGAGCAGGAGTGTGAGATGTATAAAAGGTGGGCCGGCTGGCATCTCGCAAACTCCTTGACTTCTCCACGCTCTGGTCCCTGGAGAACTGCGGTAAGTTCGGTGAGGTAGTATCCCTCACCGCAGCCTCACTCCTATTGGGTCCCAGCCTGTGACTGGGAGCTGAGAAGGGAGTTCAGGGTGGTTGGTGGGTAAAGAAGGCCTCTTCCTTTGGGCATCTGTCTCTTCCTTATCCTTTGAGTGAATCTTGGGTCCTGTACCTCATCTGGATGAGAGGGATGGGAGGCTGTGCTGAGACAGGAGCGGCCCGTCTACTGGAGGGCCAGTGTCCTGTGAACCTTGCTGGCATCGCCTGTGTGATGTATCTTGCAGGTACTGACAGATTTGGTAGACAGAGGGGGATCACCAGCTCTGGGCAGAGCCACTGGTGTGCCTGCCTTTTGGGAAAAAAAGCAAGGTGTGGGGATAATGGGCTTCTAGGGAGAGGAGGGGTGGGGAGGTTTGGGTGCACAACAGCAGGATAAGAAGACACAGCACAGTGGGAGGTCCTGCTTTGGACCAGGAGACCACTGTTCCATCCTCATGCTGATTGTCTCGGCAACATCCTTACCCTCTCTGAGGCTTGCTTTCCTCATTGATAATCGCAGATGATTCCTTTCATCTACTATACATCCTTCTCCTACACATTGTCTGAGGGAATAGTTAAGATGCTTCTCTTAAAATTCTATGAATTTATTTGCTAAGCTGAAACCATCACATAGTCATTATGTGCTATCCCTTCTGTGTGTAGTGTGTACACACATACATGTATATATATATGTACATATGTACGCATGATAGTATGCACATTTTTCCATGTGCTTAGTCAATCCTTACAGCAATCCTAAAAGAGCAGGGTAGGGAAAAGCTTGGTACTTTGTTCAAATTCCCATGGCTGTTAATGCTTTAGGCAGGAGTTAAATCCCATGGAATTCTGCTTTGGAAGTTGCAGTTTTTCCTAAAATAGTTTCTAACTATCTTCTCACCTTCTCCCCGTCTTTTTTTCTTATCATTTTCCTCATCCTTTTCCTCTCTGTCCCTCTCCTTTTTCTCTTTGTTTTTCTTTCATTTTTCTACTCTGTCTCCATTTCTCTCTTCTCCTCTCCTCTCCTGTCCTCCCTTCTTCTCTTCCCTCTCTCTCTTCCTCCTCTTTTCCTCCTTCCTTTCCCTCATTGCTTCCTTGATTCTCCACTTTGTGTCTTTGTCTCAAAAAGAAATAAAATGGTTTACAAACATAGGTAAATTTTACACACACGGGGGTGGGGGGAGAGAGACAGAGAGACAGAGAAAGACAGAGAGAGAGCGCAAGCGAGCTTAAATTTGGGAAGCTCTCAGGTTAAGGTAAAAGCATAGTAGCATGTGGATGTGACTAGAGGTTTACCCAGGATTTCTCTGTGGCTTGAGCATTGTTCAATTCTGCATCATTCTGTTTCTAGTTGCAGGTCTAACCCAGAATGTCTCAGCAAAAACAGAAGCAGTGCTGCCCCCCACCTCAGCAGTGCTGCCCCCCACCTCAGCAGTGTTGCCCCCCACCCCAGCAGTGCTGCCCCCCACCGAAGCAGTGCTGCCCCCCAGCTCAGCAGACCAAACAGCCTTGCCAGCCTCCACCCAAGTGCCAACAGAAGTGCCCACCTCCTCAGCAGTGCCAGAAGTCCAAGCAGAAGTGAGACTGAGACATGTCACCAGAGGCAAGTCCCAGAGAAGCAACAAGAAGTCCCCTAATCAGCATCCTGTACCCCTCCTCCATCAGAAGCAGGAGCAGCTCATCTTGCTTCTGGATGCAGCCGCTCTTCACTCTGTGAGGAGGCAGCACCAGAACCATGCTTTCCTCCTTCCCTGCCTCTTCTTAATTAGCAGCTGCAGTTTCCATCTCAGACAAGGATCTGGCTCTAAAGTGTCTACTCATCTTCAGTGACATGCATCTACATTGCCCTGCTGGAAACTTGGGCACCACACCCAAACACTCTTTCCCATCACCGTCTCCAAATCATTACAGTAAATTCCTCTGGCATGACCTGTCTCTGTCTGATGATTTTGTTGTTTGAAAATGCTACCTTCCTGCAGGTATTTTCTCTCTCTATAACCTGGAGTCCCAGGGCCTGGGGAGGAGAAGTCCCAGGAGGTGCACAGCTGAGATACTGGGACATTCACAAGGGTCCAGCCAGGATAGGATGTGTGTGCACTGGGGGTGCTGCTTCTGTGGTATAGACAAACCCCAGCTCCAGAAAATGAGAACCCACGCAGACATAGGGGGGACAGTGCTCACACAAGAATGTATACAAAGAAAAGGCAGACTTCTCTGCCCAGAACAAGTAAGGGAAATCATCTACAAACAAAACAAACAAAACCAACCCTACACGGTAGGGTAATAGGATTGCAGCAGATAAGTTCTAAGCCAGAATGCATACTCCAAGCACTGATGATCTGGGGGAGATAAAGAAAGGGCTTCAAAAATTCTCCCATAAATAAAAAAGGCACTATTTCTTCAAGGTAACCAAGCATGTAATTAGGAGCCATTCTAAACCAACACGCTATGCCAAAAATACATTTATTCACCACATTTGTTTGTTTGTTTTTCTTTTACTCAGGATTGAACTCAGGGCCTTACACTAACTGACATCAGAGCCCTTTTTATTTTTGCCCTAGCTGGTTTGAACTTAATATTCTTCTACTTTAACCTCTGAGTATCTGGGATTAGAGAAGACCATCAGCACACAAGTTAATTATTTTAAATTAGAATCCCAGTTCCCATATTTGTCCAACTGGTAAGTATTCTGACTGTTTCTCTCCCACTAACCTCCTACTGTCATTTCTCTGAATTCTTGGTGATTGAGGAATAATTCAGACCTATAGATAATCCAAAATATGTGTGTGTGTGTGTGTGTGTGTGTGTGTGTGTGTGTATGTGTGTGTTACTAGGGATTGAACTCGGTCTGTGGACTGAGCTACATCCACATCATATTTTTTTTTGGCAATAAGGTCTTGCTAAATCTAAGTTGCTGAGGGTGGGTTTAAACTTACGATCCTATGTCAGCCTTCTAGAATTCTGGGATTACTAAGGTGCAACATCACACCTGCTTCCAAACTTCTTTTTTTTTGTTTTGTTTTTTGTTTTTCTCCGGTACTGGGAACCGAACTCACGACCTTGCACATGCCAGGCAGGCGCTTTTGCCGCTGAGCTAAATCCTCAGCCCCCAAATTTCTTATGTATTGCTTCAATTACCTACCCAAATTCCTCTTCACAACATCTCTTTCTTACAAAAATACTCCACAAATAAGAGTATTTAAACCTGCTGTCCTCCACCAGTCTTCCTTTTCACTTCTCTGTGCTCTGAAAGAGTCACCAAAAACCAGCAGAGGCATCCAAAAGAAGCTACAGGAGAAAATAATATAAGTGAAAAATCAGACCGTTTTCCACATATATTACAGATCCTGGAGAATGCAAGGTTGGCTAAAGATCAAAACTTATAGGATGGCTTTCCTGGGTGGCTGGCCCTTTTTCTCCATCATGCCTTTCATATTTCCTCTGTCCACCCATGAACCCTTCCACTGTATGTCAGTACTCTCTTACACTCAATCTCCATTTGCACAGAATGTGATGGACTACATAAAGATACAGAAACACAACTCAGGTTACTGGGGCTCTTAACTATTCATCCTCATAAAAGACTAAGCTGAAACCCCCAGTATAATAAAGCAATATTCCACCAGTAGCATCTAATTAAGATATGACTTGAGTGGTAGCCTTCCTCACTGATGTCCTCCAAATTTAGAGAAAACATGTAGTGTGAGAATAATGAAAGCTTGTGAACAGAGGAAGGAGACTTTGACCATGTCTGTAGTTATAACAGCTACTATAGAGCTGCCAGAAAAGGTCTATGCAGTGATGAAGGTAGAGTTTCAGAAGGAAAGAGGCTCCATGAACTGAGCACAGAACAGTATTGTGAGTGTTCGGTGTAAGCAGGAGAGCCAGATCTCCTGTATCCAAGCCCCAGCGCAATGTGTAAAAAAACTGTGGGTGATCACACTTGCTGAAAATCACAGAAGCCTGGGCAGATGACACCGGTTTGGTGACTTGCCTTGTAGACTTGTCTTTACTCGGGAGGGTTGTATTGAACAGGAACTCAAGTCTGATATTTTAAAAAAGCATTGATAAATTACGTAAACCTTAGCTGAATTCATGGAAAATGGTGTAAACATTTTCTTGCACTCAGTAAAATCTCCAAATGTGTCTTCTCTCTAACCCTATGTTTCTGTCTAGGGGGTTCTTAAGTCCTCTTTTCTTACCCTCCTTTACTCAACAACTTAACATAAAGTTGAATTTGCCCTTCTGAGCTTCCTTTAATTTTCTCCTTTACCAGTTATCATAATTGGATCAAATAGACATGTGCATATATCTGTGTGTCATGAATAATCAGTAACCTGGAAACCTCCTCTGAAGAAAGACCACAAGCAGTTAACTTTGTGGATTTCTTTTATTTTTTCCCAGCATACTGGGCTTAGATTCCAGAGCTACCTTTTTATCTGTGTGACCTAGAGCTAAGTATATAACTTCTCTAGGTCTCACTTTTCTCATCTATGTAGTGAGAAGAACAGCAGCCTCTTAAGGTTTATGGGGTGATGGGTATTTAATGAAATAACAGAAATGAAGTAGTAAGTGTAGCATGATCCATAGCGAGGGTTGACAGATGTTAATTGTTGCTTTCATTCCTGTTCTGTCAGGTTCCCCTAGAGCAGTAGGCTTACAGGAGCCCCTCGCTTTGCTCCCATCAACTTGAGGATACTGCTTTGTCCAGACCTGTGATAAACAAAAGGGAGAGGCACAGTGCAGGGGCCAGAACCCTTGCAGTAGAACAAAGGGCCTGAGTTAGTGTTCACAGAAGGAAGGAAGAATTAGTATAGGACATAAGTACCCCATTGTTGGTTGATTTTCTCTTCCAAAATCCTCCCTTTTTAAACATTTGCTTATGATAGTCCTGTGCTTGAGGCAGTCTCGGGCAACACAGGCCCACAGCAATTTTCACTTGCTTTTCAGTTAGTGAAGTCAGCCTTGCCTTTTTGAGACAGGTTGGGCTCCTGGGGAGGAAAGAGTTGGAGCTGGTTAGTGCAGGAAGCAGGTGCAGGTGCAAAGGCTTAATTGACATGGAAGGTGCCAAGCATGTGCACACGTCTGCCCATTGAATTCTGGCACCGCTCTATTGAGGTAGCATCATTATTCCTGGGACCAACAGGTTCAGGGAAGTTCCTTGCTCCTAATGTTAATGCCTTACAGGTGATAGAGCTGAGACTGAAACTCAAGACCCTTTGAACTTTTGATCCCTGTTTTTTGTAACAAAGCAAGTGTTCTTACTGTTTGTGTAGCTGCAAGAGGATAAAGCTTGTACCTTCCTCAAGAATTTACCCTCCACCAATCCAGTGAGAAGGCAAGTCCAGGCATGTTTACACACAGTCAGACACAACACTTACATGACATTATGCATTTGTGAATGTTCACACACTCACACAAGTTCCACTCATGAACCCGACACACTAAATGATGCATACAGCTGTAGAGACTGACACTGAATTTCCAGAGTAGAAGCTGGGTTAGGGTCCTAGAGGCCCCTTCCTGTGGCTTCCTGGCTTCCTCTTGGCCTGCACACTGAGGGGCAGCCAGGGCAGTGCAGGGCATGGTGGGCAGGGAGTTGGTGCCGTGGCTATTTGCACCTGTCACAGAAGTGTTTTTAATATTGTAGCCACGGACTCAACAACATCTCTGCAGAGTGGTGTGCATCTGCTGAACATTGTGCCAGTGCACACTCACTCCTACAGACTCATTCATTGGCACACGCATGCCTGGCTTCCCACACATACACTTGCTGTCCACACTGTAACACAACACGCTGGCATGCAGTCACATGCTGAGCTGTCTGTTACGGTTCATGTCTAGATGTGAGCCTCAGGTGCTCATAGGTGGGGCTTTTGGAAGGTGATTGGATTTGGAGGCACTGTAGCTGGTTTGCTATTAGGAGACAGGGTCTGTTCAGAAGAGGTAGGTCACTAGGAGTATGATCTGGAGGAGAATGTTTCCCTTTCCACTTCTTCCCTTCACTCGCTCTGCTTCCTAGCTGCCATGAGGTGAGGAACTTTTCCTGTACTGTGCCACGCCATTCTGCCTTGGAATTAGCAGACTACTGAAATGTGGACCAAAATAATCCTTTCCTCCTTTACATTGTGTGTGTCAGGTGTTGTGTCTTCACAACAAAGATAGTGACTAGGACACCGTCCTTCACATTCAAGTATGTCTTTATCCACTAACACTCACAGAGGCCCAAGAGCACAAACATACACATTTGCATTGTACTCACATTTGGTTCCAGAGGATTGAGTGCTGTCTCTCTTCTCATGAGCCAGCTCCTCTCACGTTTCTCCAGTCCTCCGCCACCTCACAGCAGGGATG